TCTAATTGAGACAGCCAATAGAGCGCGCTTATTCCAATTTTATCGCGCGCGTCTAACTAACATGCGTAGCCATACTACGGGGACTGGCATAATTTTATTTCCTCTTGAACTTTGTACCCTCTACGTCTTTTGTTACTTAGGTCATCAAATTAGTTCTAGTACTCGCAAACGTTATTTGTAACTGTTCTATCGGTCGTTCGCTAACATCTTTAGCTTCGCATGGATAATCATTCCAACGTCGGTATGCAACGGCAGACGTAACCCAACTAGTGACCATTACTCGCTATTTCGGTAACAATCTGACTATTGCCACCTGTCAACTTTTGTAACATCCTTCCCAACTTGCCCTTCCACGCCCAGGTTAGTAACCGAGCGACTGGACAATATGCAAATTGGTAAGTATAGAGAAATTAATAACGGTTTTCCCAACAGAGATTTGGTACGTCTCAATTCATTTTGAGATATTCATTTTTGAAAAAATAACCGTTTTATAATTTAAAATAGCCTTTTTCTCTGCATTTCGGTTAAGACCGATCCAATTAATCTGGACAAAGATCTTAGTGTGAACATTTTTTTTATATAATCTTCTGACTCACTCCCAGACCTTTCCTGTTTCTTTCTTTTAAACTAGATCAATTATTATTGTGCAAGGTCGAATCTAACATATTAACACAATGGAAACAGAGAACAGGGGTTTTTTGTTTATCTGTAGCAAAAGTTGGCACAATTTATGTCGCCAATGTAGTAGCCATAAGCTTCCGTAATTGCGGCAGACCGCGCTGTTCCTGGCTTGTGTAAATCACTGTTCGATTGTAATCGTAAATAAACTAAACAAACTTCAACTTTACTGTAAGTCAAAATTCTTCAATGGCACGTTATGTCCCCAATCCTTGCCAACCGCTTCCTGTGATTCAATCAGCTATTGAATTGTTATATCATTATTTTTTTATATACCTAACACTCGGCAGTGTATCAGCCAATGTTTAGAAAACTAAAGACGACAAGCGTGTCGTGTTGTCAGTGGACAACATGTTATATTTGTCGAATCATTTCAAGTTGTAAATTGGTGTAATAAAGGTCAAGTTGCAAATGTTTCTAAAAATCTCGATCAAATAACTCTGGAGACTATAAAATCTTAATATCGTTTTCTTTTGACATTGACGATCAAACTCTAGACCACTTCCAGTATGACAAACAGCTACTATAATATAATAAATTCTGCGAAGCTACATGGCATTTCTTGTGTCCCAAACTGTACGGGTCAACGTACATTATTGTGCAACTGAAAATATGCAACGTCGCATCCTACATTGTGCACGTACAAAATGTATAAATTATAATTTTCAGCACAATAAAGTGACTCTGTGGTGTCGGTCGAGTATTATTTCTACAGCATCTTGACACCTCCCTGCATCATCTCGCTGATATCACCTGACATATTCTGACATATTACTGTACGAGACAAGCAGCTCGTACACAAACCATGTAATATTTTTACCTATATTAGTATACAAAGAAGAGAGCAGTATAATATAGAATGTCACTCGAAATATTGAAAATTGCGTCGCTTTATTAAAAATTTCTATTCATTATCAGAACTGATTAATAGCAGATTATGTAGTTTCACAAAAAAATGTTTGATAGCATAATAATTAACGTGAGCTTGCCGTGTGAGGTGAACTTTAATTTTAAAAAAATGTTAAAGAATAAAGAATAATGGATAAAGAATAATATAAGAATAATGGTTGTTGGTGTAAAAAAGCCTACGCTCACATTTCCTGAATAAAGTAAAATGCGTTGTATTCCACATGAATGTCCGCAGAACTGTGCGACTATCGATTCATCGCTAAAACCGAAATCGTTCCTGCAATCGAGATTGAACTGTTACATTACTTCCATTTGGTTCACATTGAAAATACAATCGAATCTTTAAAGTATTCAGACATGTCACGCCGTTAGAGATAAAATCATGATTTTTATACAAAATAGTATTCCTACGACCTCTTTTGCACTTTTTACGTTATTATGGGGGAACAAAAGGGAAAATGATATATTTTACGTAGACCTAAGTACCGCCTACAGCCTAAACTTATCCGTTTTTGCAAAAGTTATGGAAACCGCTTTGTATGAGCAATGTCTGATCGATATTCTAATTTCTACCACCATTACCACTATTGCTGATGAGCTCGGGTCCAAAAGGTAAGTCACACTTTCTAAGCGATATGTAATGTAATGTATAAGCGTTTCTTCGTATATATAATACGTCGGATACAACTTCTAACTCGGAGAACGAACTTGACACGTTTCGGAAACTTTGCTATTTGACGATTTCTTAGATTTCCGCGATAGCTACACATTGAAAATGTAACCAGAATTATATTTCCGAATCTAAATCACATACATTAGTTTTTTCAAACAAACTCACGTTACGCGTTCTTTATAGATCATATGGTCATGACTGACTGAGATTGTAAAGCCATCAACCAGCTATATCTAAAGCTCGGTGTAGACTATTTGCAACACAACGTGCAATGCAACGCGAGCATCTTTGGGACGACACTGCGCGCACCGAACTGCGTTTGCCTAAAAGCCGTGGGATTACAAATACATGCAACATTTCTTTTTAAAAAAGTAATATAGGTACTAATTATTACAAAAATTATTACCTGCAATTTACGCTAATTTACTATTAAATTTTAATTTTATTTAGTTTTTGCTATTTGTTCTATTCAAGAAATAGTAGTATCCTGCAAGAAATATGCACTCACCGTCCCTTGACGGAGTCGATGTCGTCGTCGGCATCGGGTTGCAGCTGCATGCCGCCTTGCGCCCACGTCACTGTCAGCCAATCTACAACAATGCAAACGATCGTAGCTTAGCAATAGAAGAAAAAATAGCATCATCGGCCCAATGTAAAGGAAAAAAGAGCAAAATATCATTGTGTAACTGCAGGATGATAATACATATTTTTTTTACACACGACAGGTAGATGACTCCACTGTACCTGGTGTTAAATGGAAAGTGGAATCCAAACGTGAAGGTGCCTAGTGTAGTGTTCATACAATCACTGCCCTAGTCACCTCCACACTGTATGCCTACAAGATGCCTCTTCATGCCTCGTTTGAACGACCCCATAGCATAAGAAGAAGGGAATGCGTGCGCTGGAAGGGAGTTCCATTTGTCGACTGTGCGACAGACAAAGGTGCCACCAAACTTTTATAAAATATCCTATTAACCGCGCACGTGTTGTATGGGAAATCTGAATTATAATATTTTTTGCAAGTTGTTTTTTCATACCACCTAATACAAGCTTATTTTATGAGAGAAAAATAAATTTCCCAGATCGAAAAATAATTTCCCTTTAATTTCCTGCTCAGAAAAACATCTGAATGACTATATCTTCAATATAATATTTACATATACGCTACGTTGGGCTAACCATGTACATAATTTTGATAGACAATTTTTTCTATAACATCCAGTGATGGAACGAACAAGTCGCGCGTCTGATGAAGCTACACGCCTGTCCAGAACAGTTACAGTGCCACTCAGAGCTTTAAATTGCAAAGATCTGTGGGGCACTACCACTGCGCCCGTCACCCTGAGACATAAATTGACAAGTCCCATGTAGGCACATTGTAGGTAATTTCACCAGCACCCCTATTCTTCAAAACCGGAACACACTAATGCTGACATTACTGCTTGGCGGCAGAAATAGGTAAGGTGGTTGACATCGTCTTCCCGCTCCCCCTCCGCCGTTTCCTTCAGCGTCATGACCGCACCACTGACGGTACTAACCGCCTTCCAGACCTCTTCGCTTTTCGCCAAGCCTGACAACGATAGGTCTGCCCCTACTACCGCGGACAACGTGGCGCGAGGCTCCGCCCAAGCTGGGCACTCTTCACGCGTATGATACGCGTTATCCGCGGCTGATTCACAATGGTGGCATGCCGCTGACGGCTCTCTACCTGGAACTTCATACAGGAACTTGCCGACGCATCCGTGCTCGGTTTGCTACTATACGGGACTTGACACAGGAGATAATAAAAATCGGTTCTCACTACTCAAAGTATAATGAGAGAAAAACGCCTTGAATTGGAGAATAGCTAAATCAACCGTTAAAATAATTGCTCCTTATAGTAAAATGTAGGCGCTATTTATAAAAATAAATCTTCATGCGTGAACAGCCACCCTTAGAGGTGGGTGATACGGAGGTACCCCCTTTCCAACAAAAAAGAATCATGAAAATCGGTTCACAAATACCGGAGTTATCGCGTAACATACATACAAAAAAAAAACATACGATCCAATTGCGAACCTCCTACTTTTTTTGAAGGGGGTTAATAAATCTATTCGATTTTCATTTCTGTATTTACTATAGGCACTTTTTATTATATGCTACGTAAATATAGCGCTGTTTGTGACATACATGAACGTCACAATCTGTTACTGTAATTCGCACAACATTAATGTCAGTTTTCTTGGATTTTTTTTTGCTTTTACGGCGTCTATTTGTTACAGAAAATATATTAAAACTTGAGAACATTTTGGAAAGAACTTGTATAGGTATACAGTATCTGACAGGCGAGTTTGATAAATCGTTGCCGATTTCCCTGGGGAAGGAAATATTCAGGCCTAGGAAAGTTTCCTTGGAATTTTGCTCAATATAATGAAACCATTCTTTTAAAACCAGTGCCTACGTCGCATTGTACAGACAATACAAGCTGGAAAGTTTATTAACTTGAGTGTGAAGAACAATTATTGTTTAAGGTTATTCAAAATCCATATATTTTGTTATGAACTTTATTTTCATTACGTAGACTAGAGTTTAATTTAAATATCTTAACTTTTATGAATTTATTTTCAATATTACACAGAGTTTTTTGATACGGTGATGGTGGCATGCGACACGCCTGTCCATAGCAGTTGCAATGGCATTCAGAGCTTTAAAGATGTGACGGGCATTGCCACTGTGCCTGTCACCCTGGGACATACGTCGACAACTCCCATGTGCCTATAATTTCGGCAGCACCCTTACGCTTCAAAATTAGAGCGCAGTAATGTGCTTAGCGGCAGAAATAGGTAAGGTGGCAGTACTTGCCTGGATGAACTCTTTCCCAAGAAGCTCCAGTGCTTCTAAAAGTAATAGAAGAATAGGAGAGTACTTTTAAATCTGGTGCCTCCTTCAAATCATCATTTCAGAAATTTTTACTATTTGCCCTAAAGTTATTTTATTCTTTGATATCATTCTGACCACAGACCACATACATTTCTTTCTTCCGTAATTCTGACATATATACGTATTTTGTTATTAAGTTACCAAATAGACTTTTCATTCTTTCTTTCTTACTTAAAGTAATAGAAAAACCATCACAATTGCTAAATCATTTTGGGAACAGTATAAAATTGAATAGGAAGTATATTGAAACGCAGAACACAGACTTCTAACTATCAATCAAGAATAATCACCTTCGCCCTGTCTTCGACAAAAGCGGGCCATTAGCTGAAACGGCAATGGCGTCGGGAATATTGAGCCGAACCATTTGCTTGACCCTATAGACCCTGAAGGCCCAGCAGCCCTGAAACGCTGAGATTAATAGCCACCAGTTATCTAACAATATTCAAATGAAGCTTGTGGTACATGAGAGAAACTGAGCGATAAACAAAGAAAAATTGTCTGTACTTATCTTATTACTTAATTCTTTGTGACGAATGAAATTATATACTTAATACAAAAACGACCTCAAAAGTTCGTGGAATTACATGTATTTGCTAAGTTTTATTGAAATCGATTACCGGAAAGTGCGCGACACTGCATTCATCCCCTAGTTTACCACCCTTAGAGGTGGAATATTTTCTTCAAATGTAAGTGAGACCAATATTGAGGAATTGAATGGAATTAATACAGTGAATAAAAAAAAATAATTATACAGTGAATAGCGACATCTCTCGCCAGGACTGGTAGCTGTAAAGGTACTAACTGGGTGATAAATCTGTCATAGATTTCTCATAGATGGCGCTACGACTAAAAAGTCGTTGAAAGACCAAGTACAAAGACACGACGCAAGCACATAGAAAAATTCGTGAGGTCCGTTGGTTCGTTCCATGGCGTAGTTGGTATAGCGTCTGGCACGGTATGCAAGAAGACGTCGGTTCGAATCCGACCGGATCGAAGGAATTTTTTCTGAGCGTTCGATCTTTGTATTAATAATTATAATTGAATGGAATTTAAACAGAATCATTAAAATCGGTTCACAAATGCTGGTGTAATCGCGTTACATACACACAAAAATGTATAATTTTAAAGTTTGGTTAAAAAAGGAAGATATGTTACTAACCTCTTACTGTCTTGTGTCAGTCTGCGTCGAGCAAAGGGAAGTACGTGACAATGAAATTTCAAAAAAATACCGTCGTCCATAAATAGTTGTTCTAAGGTAGAATGTTAGATTTGACTTAAAAATATTTTTCACGTTTGTTTAATAATAAATATTCTTTGTTTCCTTTTTCCACTGCGTTTCATTTCTTACCTACTTTTCGAAATGTTCTTTCTGTTCCACAAAATCATAATCTATGCCCCGACAATGCACTTGACCCGCCACAGATTTTAAACGTCGATTATTTACTATGAAAGTAACATATCTTGTCAAAAAGAGCATTGTTTGTGGCTAACTAAATAGTTAATGAAAATTAATTGCGCGCGAATAACATTTTCCAAAACAGGGCTTTAGGTTAATTGTTTTTGTGTCGAGCATTCTACTATTTATTGAGCCTTCTTTTATAGTGAATCCACACAGATAGTTTGAATACTTACTGGGAGGATTCTCACAGAAAGTATCGGCTCTGTGCAAGGCGCAAGGGCGTGGCCGAATTCACACAGTCCCGTATTTCACACAGAAGTACAGCATAATATGCTATCACTAAATTGCATAAATAGTTTAATAGCTAAATTTAATTAAACACGCGTGCCGTTGTGTACTTGCAACGTCCGATTAGCGCGGGAGTTCGCGGGCAATAAAACAGCTGTCAAGAAGTTGTACCTTCGTGACGAGGAACAAGAAAGCCAGGGAACAAATATACTCACTTTAAAAAGGAAATAATTCGTTTATTGCTATTTATGCTTGCATATGGTACAGTTTACAACGTCACAATTGCATCATTCATCTGAAAGGACGTTAAGGGATGCAATGACAATAATGATAACGATCTCTTTTTTTCTTTTGTTACTTATTGAAAATGAAATTCTTGAAATTGAATTTTTTCGTAATAAGATTTTGCATTGGACCAATAGCAAAAAGGCATGGGTAAAGGTGCAACCACATGGGGTGGACCACTCTATATCCGAGCCGAACCACTGGAACTCGAGTGAATTATAGTAACTGCTGATTTACGGTATCGTAAAAGGTGTGCAGGGTAACTTTAGGCTTTATTAACTTTGCTTATTATCTGTGAATGGAAATTTTGATTAAATATTGGGATTGCACAAACCTTTGCAGGTACAGTCACCTGCAATTAAATGTGTATTTACTGGTATTTAATTTCAATTAAAATTTTGTTCAATTAAAATAATCGAATTTCACTTTCGCCACTTGCGTACTTTACATAAGACTTACAATTCAAAGCCATACATGCCACAACCGAACGAGCGAGAAATTAAGCGCTTTAAAATAAGTTAATGCCAAAACTCCGTCTGGAAGAACGATCTTCTGTATTACCTTATGATGTATAATAGCACCCCATTTGGAATTATATAAGCAAAAGAAGAAATATACACGTAGGAAATGACTAGACAACAAGAATTAAGAAGGCCAAAAGAAAATAGAGGGGCAATTGCAAATTCGTAACGAAGAGGAAGGTGTCAAATTCAAATCATTCAATCAATTTTTTTATTTGAAACATCAGAGATCGAGACTACCTCCATGAGCTAAACGGGTTACTACCACGGATTTTTGTCATCCAAGTACGCAGAAGTTGTATAATAACCTTTAGTATAAAGTTTTTGTCTCACTATAGTTTTAAACCTCGTGAAAGGCAAATTTTGTATATCAACCGGAATCTTGTTATAGAAGCGTATACATTGCCCCTTAAATGATT